AAGGCTGCAGGCTCAGGCCCACCTAATGAGACGCGACACATCGCTTTCCCTGTGCGAGGTGAACGGAGCTCGACAGATTCTTCCGCTGCCCACGCAGAATTTAAATTACCGAGTAGAAGAGTAGTCGACTTGCTCCTACACTTTCACTGATCTCTGAAACTACATATCCCAGGTATTTGGTAAAGTCATTCCAAATAGTGTCAATTAAACACTTCCTCTACAAACGGAAAATCTTAAAGCTACCCACGTACACCAGAACCGATTTGCTCAGGTGAACAAAACCTGCCTTTTAGGAAGAAAGTTCGTTAAAAGGGGACCCTTTTGCAGCCTAGCTGCAGAAATCCGGAACCCAGTCTTTATTTTCAGTGATTAAAATAGTGATACTTCACATACTTTAAAATAAATAATAGTGGAAAAAAAAATAATAAAAAGGAAATCCAACCGTCCCCAAAACTCAACTTCTTTCAGTGTTGATTGAGAGGGAATGCACTTCTTTTTACTGGCAGCAACAATATTTCGCATTATCCTTCTCACAAACAGGATGTCTGGAAAATTATAACTCAGCCAACCTAGATGTGGAATCTATAATTTGCAATTTGTCACATTCCACTGGGAGGGAGATATGGAGCGAGTCGTGGAGTGTCTTTTTACACCTTTTTTCGCCTCCGCAGATCAGGTCGGTTCCTAGGACCGCGTGGTGAAGACCAAAGTGCCTGAGAAACCTCTCAGGCAGTCTCTGTGGAGCCTGCATCCAACTCATGCAATAAAATCTCTGGATCTGAACGTGAAATGAGCTGCTAGGTAAAGCCTCAGCAAGGAAAACAGAGGGCTTGTGAAAATACCGAACCATTTGAGCACCTGTTTTTCGAGATAGACAGTTCTCTTTGTGTTTCAGGAACCTTCCTTTTCCCCTGCAGCTATTGGGGTGTTTGATCCTATTCAAGAGAACGCATCGCTTCCTTTCTTCCCCTATAACCAGCCCTCAGTGCCCCTCACTGCGGGGCCATGCCCGCCCCCCCCCCCTCCCCCGAGGGAACACCCAGCTCTCATCTTCATAGCTTCACTTTCCATTTTCCCGGATAACTGGAGCGTGCGTATGTGGAAGGTGAATAGTACCCCCAAAATTCGTTTAGACCAGTCCAAGGTAGCACGAATTTCTTCTCATTCAATCCTTAAATACATTTGGTGTTGTAACTTTTCTGGAGGGAAGAGAAGTGTTAGTGTAAAACAGATTTAAAAGAAGCAATCTTCTTTCTGTACTGAGATCCACAGTTAAAAACCGGTATTAGAAATGGGGAGGAGACACGGGAGGGGATTCGGATTCCTGGGCATTTGGAAGGTATCGATGCCGTTCTCACTTTATTTAAACAAACGCAAGTGTGAGGAGATCCCTAGAACAGGCAGTAGCCCAGTTTGGGCTGGAAGCTGCCACACCGAGTAGCAGCGCAGCAGCGGCTGAGGACCCAGAAGTGGACGGTGCGGGTCCGGCACCGCACTCGCACACTTCTCCTAAATTCCTGGATTTTTCGGCAGTGAGACGCTTGTAATTTATGCGGGATCCTCGTTCCTACACTTGGTCTGTTACTTCGGATCTCAGGAAGAGAAGGAATGCGAGGGCAGCGGGGGGAAGGCAGCCCGCCGTCCCCGCAGGAGAACCCAGTGGTGCCGGGGAGCCTTCCGGGATATGCGCGGCCGGCTCGTCCCAGTGGACAGGCTTCCTCGGAGAAACCCCTATGCACTGCAGGGGCAAGCTCCTTCACACCACCTCTGGCCACGAAATGTCTCTCCATCACACATAACACCCCTTCACAGAAGGTTTAGGAGATACTCCATCTCTGGAAACACAGCGGCACATCTGCATGCAGCTCTTAATAACCGGGCTGCCTGGCGGAGGGAGTCGGTCCCTGAAGAAAGATGCTTTTCAAAGCTGTCTCACCTCAGCACAAATTTTTTTTCCTTTGCCGCCTTCTCCCCCGGGATGTGTCCAACCCCTCTCAGATAATTTTAGCCCGCTGAAGTCAGTTTTCTGTTTTCAAGCTTTTAAGGAGAACGATTGCCATACGTGGCGCCAATTCTCCCCTAGGTTACATCTCTCCTTCCCTTTGAAGTCTGCTGAGTTGCAAAGAGGAGAATGAGAGCAGAATTTGGTCCCTGGAGCTAACAGTGATGTGGAACCACTCTGATTTTCATTTATTTATTTATTTCACGTGAAGGAGGGATGGATTTTAAGATCCGGTTATAAGTTTTGTCGCGCTCTATTACTCTGATATTGTAAGCGCACTTATATAAATGTCGGCGCTAATCTTGGCGGGGAGTGCTTTACAAAGACGGGAGGACAAGCGAGCGGAGTCTCCTGTGGGGTGAAGGTGATGCGGGAGGATCGTGTTTTCTCAGCGGAGCGGGGAGGGGGTGAAGAGCACAGAGGACGCGGCAGCCTCAGTCCCCAGACCGGTCCCCAGACGAGGCCGGCGCCTCCCGCCCCCTGCGAGTCAGCGACGCTGGGGTGGCCAGATCGTCCTGGGAAGGGGGGGAACGCTGGGGTTGAGGCTGCGGGCCAGCCCGGGGGGACTGAGCGCCGCCGCCACCGAGGCCGCTCCTCGCAGTCAGAGGAACACGCGTGTCCCCGTGGCGGGCACCCGCGCTCCCTCCGGCCTCGCTAGAAACAGTCCTGCTGCTGCTGGGAGCCTCTGGGTTTTTACGGTCACAGGAGATTCTCCTTGTCCTCGGCTATCCTGGAGTTTAATAGCTGTCTTTAAGGAGGGATATTTATTGGGATAAAAGTGGATTGCAAGCTGCAACAACGTTGCATGTGTCTTTCATTTAAAAGACATCGAGAGCTCCTTTTCCCCCCCCCCCGTCTTTTTTTTTTTTCCTCCCCCAAGGCATTTAGTGCTTTTAAGGCACAGTTATAAACACGCTGCCGAAGTGCCAGCACAAGGAGATGCGGGGGCAGGGAGAGAATTTATTTCTCCGGGTACGAAGCAGGCGTTTCTCCAAAAGGTTCACGGAGGAAACTTCGTTTTCAAGACAAATCCGGGGACGGGAACTGTCCCTGGAGCGGCTCCCGGGGCCGTGTCCAGCCCCTCTCCCGGGCAGGCAGCGAGCTGGCCCCCCGCCGCACCTGGCCGCACACCGCGGGCACCGCTCGCCTCCCTCGTCCCTTCACTTTTCCGTCTCCCGGAGGCTTACGGGAACCGCTTCCATCTCTCCCTCTCCACAGGAGGGTAAAGCGAAACCCCACCCCACAAAACACACCGACCCACCCCAAGTCCCCGAGCACCACCATTGCATTCTGTCCCGACGGGGCTCCGCGCCGCCCGCAGCCCCAGCTCCTTGATGGCGGCAGGTAACGCTGTGAAACAGGACGGAGTTGCGGGGGTGGCAGCCTGGTTCTGACAGATGACAGGGAAGGGCAAGTTGTGCGCGTGGCGGGTGATGCCCGCAGCTACTCGACTGCGGATGAAACAAGCATCCCTCACTTAGCTACCCCTTTCTCCGGGAAAACATTAAATTAGAGGTCGGCTGATGAAGGAAGGGAAGCCGCTCGCCTAGAAATACGTTGGACATGAATTGATCTTCCCTTCACCTTTGGCTAGGTTCACAGGAAAGGTCTCTAAGCCGTTCCACAGCCCCCATGGCCATTACTGCACAGAAACTTCAACCTCTCATTAAAGCCCCTCTGCTTTTCCCCCTCCCCGCTCCAATGGGGGAAGGGCCCACTGAACTGGGTTTTAAAACAACCTCAGTAGAACAAACAAGCGCGGGCCCACGATGCTGAAATACTCATATGAAGTGATTGAAGTCTCGGGTTTACTTTGCTTCACCGAGTACTCCTTTCACGAGGAAGCAGGGAGCAGCTCTTCTCCTTAATTCGGACCCTTTTCGAAATAGTCTCCTATCTCTCGACTGTGTTTTAAATCTTGTCAATGTGCGAAAGGGCCATGGAATTCAACACTTCAAAGTTCACACTTTGTGTGAAAACTACTTCCTTTTCCAATATCCACAGGAATGCATCCATATATGGCTCGTTTCTTTTTCATTTTATTACCTAAGACTTTTTTTTTAATACTTTCATTTAGAAACTGATTTTTTTTCCAACTCAGTAGTGATATTTCAGATTTAAAATAAAGGTCCATTTTAACCGCTTTGCACACATGCACACACCCCCCAAACACAGACAGAGAGGCAGACTGGATGAGGTCTGTTTCATAACAGACAAACTCTCTTTTAGGCTGGTTTCTGATGTGAGAGATTTCTAGTTTTAAGTTTCTCTGTTTTCCATTCCCTCTACACAAACAACTGCCTATAATTTTTCTTTCTCTCTTTAACCCTAGGACAAATTTCTGAGCTGTTTAATAAAGAAGAAACACCAGTTCTTAATTTTACAACTTCAGAGAACAGGGCTGCAGCTACTGACGTATCAGTCAAATAGACTAAAGAAGACCCTTTACTTGAGGGTATGTGCCCCTGAAGTCATCTTGCTCTAAGCCTCTCGGGGAGCTGGGGGGAGAGGGAGGGAAGCGAGGGATTACTGTCGTTCAAGGATCCCTGGAGAAATGTGAAGAGGTTGCGGAGGGGAAATGTCCTTTTCTTCTGTCCTCCCTTCCTCCCTCCCTCCCTCTCTTCCCTCACCCTCCCCTAACGCTTGTGTGTGTGTGTGTGTGTCTGAAACAGATCTGTCTATCGAAAATGGGCCTGGAACTCCCTCCTGTGTTGGGATTAGGTCTTGAGGGACCTGGGGTGGAGTTAGACTTCTTGCCTATTTTCATATTCATTAGAAATGGGAGGTTGCATAAGAAGTCCTGCTGAGCTTCAAGATATAAGAGCAACTTCGGGTCCCCCCTTTCAAGACAAGACAAATCAAAGGGTCGGAGGCAAAACAGCTCCCTGAGCTCTGAACGCCTTTCCCTCCCTCCTTCTTTTCCTCCCATCCACTCACTCTCCCTCCCTTGTTCACAGTCCAGCCTCTGTCTAGGGAAGAGGCTTTCAAGCAGCCTTAGATGATTATGGATTTTCTGAGCGAGAAGTTTGCCCTGAAGAGCCAGCCGAGCAAGAACAGTGACTTCTACATGGGAGCAGGAGGCACTTTGGAGCACGTTATGGAAACTTTGGACAATGAATCCTTTTATAGCAAAACGTCAGGCAGCAAATGCGTACAGGCCTTCAATCCTCTGCAAAGGGCTGAGCATCATGTGAGGCTGGAGAGGACATCACCCTGCCAGGACAACGGTGAGTCGTCGTCCCAAAGTTATTCTCCCTCCTGGAGATGTACAGGGGAGGGCGGGGGTTCTCCTGCCCAGGGAAACCAAAGGCAGCTGTGCAGCCTTTGGGTGCAGGCATGTGAGGGGCTGTTAGGTCGTAGTAAAAGAACAATAACAAAACCAATAATAATAAATAAAATTATAATAATACTTATTATTATTATTAAAAAAAAAACACAGGGAGAAGGCAACTGTTCCTACCTTTAAAGAGCTCTTTTCCTTTCAGTGTAAACCCCCTTTTGCTATGCCTTCCATCCCTGGCCTCTACCAAGAAATGGCGCGCTTGCCGAGGAAACACAGTGCGGAGCACTGCCGGCACAGCCCGCCCGGCCCGAACCCATGCCACCCCGGGGCACCAGACGAGGCCGGGCGCGGGTCCCGGCGGGGGACCCGAAGGGCACGACCGTTCCCCCAGGTCGCCACTCCCGGCAACCACCCGACCGGTCCCTGACCCGGCCTCCGGTCCGCGCCCCCGGGGCACCCCCAGGCACCCCGGGCACCCCCTCCCCCGCTGCGGGCAGCGACTTTTTCACCCAGCAAATTCCCGGGAAAAGCATCCCCGGGTGTCGGTGTCGGAGGGACACCAGACACGGCCGGCTCCCCAGTGCCGTTCCAGGAAGGGGACGGAAGGTCACTTGGTCATGTTTGCTTCTTTCAAATATCGTCCTACGAGGGTAGCGAGATTCTCTTTGCCGTGTTATCAAATAATGCGTAAAGGTGATTCTTCCGAAACATGATGTAGGTAATCCAAACAATAATGTTAAACATTCCATCAATTGTTATATTTTTCTAGCCGATAGGCAAGGCGAATGTGGAAGGTTTTATTTTTGATACATTTAAAATTTTTCCTCATTATTCCAACATGATGGAAATCGCATATAGAAAAAAAAAATAAAAAATAATTTCCTGTCAAAATTGGAAAACGTGGTTAAGATCAGCTGCAATAAGGTGACCGACAATATCTTACTTTTTGACTTCATTTAGTCACTGAAGTATCTACTTTTTTGAAAACATGCTTTTTTTTTTGTACGAAAAAATTCACAAGAAATAATGACAGATTTCTGCTAGTGCCACTTAAAAAAAAAAACAACCAACTACAGAAAATTGATTTATACGTTGAAGTTTTTCTTAATTACTTCATTTAATGGGTACCTCGAGGGCTTTGGTGCATTTCCTATCTGATGATGATGATGATGATATGTTGATGATAAATATCTAAAAATTGTGTTTTGCTTCTATCAGCTCAGATTGAAAAAAACATTTTTGAGAATGTGGGAAAATCCCAAAGCAAGCTTCTTCTAGTGTGTTACATGCCATCTTTGTAGATTTTAATTTCTATAGAGTTTTAAACCTTTTTTTTCACCGTTTTCTGAGAAAAAATAAGAGAAAGGTTTTTTTGATCCTATAACTTATGACATTTCCAGTGATGTAAGTAAAAATATTAAAAAATAGGAAATATTTTCATTTCCTATTAAGAACCTATTGCAGAATATTTCTTATCTCTACCACTCAGGTTTTACCTAAAGACAAATAGTTCCTTCAATCCTTATACAAAGTATATGAAGCAATCTCTTTTAATAAGTTAACATTCTGCAGAAATGCTCTGTATTTTGTAACCATAACAAACCTAATTGGAAACAATTCCACTTTACAAATCCAAGAGAATGTATATGGAATTTATTAAACTTGTAAAGTGAAGTTAATTTTCATTTTCCTTTGCTTCTTGATTTGTCAGTTTACAGGTATTTAGTTTATTTCACTGTTATTTTGTATTTTCATAAAAATAGAAGTTTTTCAATTTGCCTTCAAGTTTAAAGCCACATCTGTCAATAGTCTGTGCCACTTCTAGGAAAATACGTTTTGGGCTAAGATTCCTTATCTGTGCAACTTTAGTTGACATCAATTTCATGGATTATTAACTACTTTAGTGGCAGTAATGGGAGAGTACTCCAAGTACTCTTGTGTAGTCCCCTTACTCTGAAGGTTTTTAGATGATATTTTCAGATACAATTCTCAGTTAAAATTCAATGTGTTTTAGCATTTTATTCTGTCTGTGGTTAATATTACAAATTCCTCCTCCATGATCTCGTGTAGGAATAACACAGCCTCCTAGAATCATGTTCCTTGTGAAACTGTTTTATACAAACTCCTGAATCTAAACTCCCCCATCCTGTGCACCCCTGGCCTCCCTCCTCCCTCCCACTCCCTGGTCCCCCTGCCCCTTTAATCAATTATTTAGCCAGTAATTAACCAGTTGTTAACCCACCTTGTGTACAGTGAACTACGGGATTACTAAAGTGGAAGGACAGCCTCTTCACACAGAGCTGAGCAGGCCCATGGACAATTGCAACAATCTTAGGATGTCTCCAGTGAAAGGGATGCAGGAGAAGGGGGACCTGGATGAACTTGGTGATAAGTGTGACAGCAATGTCTCCAGTAGTAAGAAGAGAAGACACAGAACAACTTTCACCAGTTTGCAACTGGAGGAACTGGAGAAAGTATTCCAGAAAACTCACTACCCTGATGTCTATGTAAGAGAACAGCTAGCTCTGAGAACAGAGCTCACTGAGGCCAGAGTCCAGGTAGGAAACAAACTTCAGCATTTCCATGACAAATTGCGTATTGTAGGAACTGGTAAATGACACTCTTGGGGATTGTATGAAAGCCTGTAAAGCTAAAGTAAGCTGCTCATTTTGCTTTATTTCTTTATGGATAAGAACTGTTATGCTGCAGTACTAAAATAACTTGTTATTTTTTTAAATAGCTTGTGTTGCTCTTCTAGAAACTTGTTTAAAGGATGAGAAAACATCATCAATAGTTAAACTGTCTTGATCTCTTGTAGAATACCAGGCAGTGAATATGTAAATTGTTATACATAAAGATCCCATTAAAGAGACGTGTTGCATATAGTTCAGATTGATGACGATGCAGAACTCAGACACAGAGAATTCTGTGTGTGTTACGGCATGAAAAGTACAGTCTAAAAAGTAGTCAAATTCCTTTTTTCTATCCAATGACTATGTAGTGAAAATGCACATACATAAATGTGTATATGTTTATGCCTGTGTGAAGCAATCCTTTCATCTCTGTTGTATGGAATGATGTTAGAAATCACAAAATTAGGAAGAACATTTGCTGGTTTTTAAACTTGTATAACTGATGAACAACATTATTCTAGTTTTTGGGATGAAACATACTGTTGATCACTTAGTGCATTGAGTATCTTCACTGCATACAAATGTGATTCACTCAGTATGTGCTCGCACAGTAATCTCAACAATATTTATAGCTTTGGATGTGCAATGGTGAGAAAAGAAGCTAAGTATCCAGGAAATGCAGCCTTTCCCCTTTATAGAGATCTTCCATAAGGAAACGGTATGAGCCACATTTTGCAAGTTTATCCTAATTTTAGATATCTTCCCTGTTCTGGTAACAATCATCATTTCAATGTAGAGAATAGCACTCCTGTTGATTCTTACAGACTGGGATTAATTTTTTTAATTTAGTGACTTGAATATGATAACAACTTCACAACTTGTAATTAAACACATACTCACACATGTATATAAAGAAATAGATACCAGTGCACATGCATACAAACTGAAATTAAATCAGAATCACTTTCAGAAACAAAGTCAGCTAATTAATTTTATAAAGAAGTATTCCTTTCATGTCAGTTCAACCAGACATCATATTCACTGTTGTCATCAGAAAATAGAGTCCAAAACTATGTGTTCAGTTACACTGATGTAATATCAGCAATGCTGACAGAATTTATTTCCGTGGCTTTTAACTCTTCAGGTTCTGTGCAATCCTTCTTCTGAATTTGACTTAAAAAAAAAGCTTGCATAATGTTAAAACACTGTTCTAACAAATGCATAATTCTGGAATTAAGAGAACTACTTCAAGAACAAATTAATAGTCAGAACAGGGAGAGGAGAATTGGATTACAGTGTTAACTGACTTTTTATCACTTTTTTTCCCTAAGTTTTAGAGGCTTCATATGCCAAGAGTAATTAAAATAGAGAGTAAATGAAAAATATATACTTCTATACTAGACTTTCACACATTTCTATTTCTCTCTTATTTAAACATGTTCTTCCCTTTCTTAAAAGATAAGTGATCTTTGCATTTCTCATATGCTAAATATGAAAGGATATGGTGATCATTTCTATCCAGAGTAACAGGAGTATTCCATCACAAGATTAAGCAATTTAAAAGGCCTTACGTCACTAGAGGCAAGCATCTGGCAATTCAAGGATAACAAGCAGCAGATTTCTACATTGCTTTGTGGAGGCAAATGGTTACTTTATCTCTGCCAAGAGTCAGTTTCTAGTAAAGTGGTGTAAACAGAAACATTTTGGGGGATTGTCAAAGGAAAAAAATGTGAGCTTTTTTTCTCGTTTAGTTACTATAAATTCAAGCAAATTGTTTGATTTAGTTTAGCACAGTGATCAGCTGGAGACCTTACCCACAGTTCCCTTCACTGCCATTTCATCAACATCCAATTTAATATTTGTCCTGCGCACATGCGGAGAGAGCCAACCTGAATCTAATTTATCTAAGTTGTTCTCTTTCCTGCTGCATATCAGTGCAGTAATTGGTACCCATTTTAAAGAGATTGTCAAGGTCTTTTTTCAGTGAAAGAGACTCATGCCTAAATTCTCTTATCTTGTCCCTGACCACTCCTGTGGACAGAGGAGAATTTTTTTTTTTTGCCTTTTCTTTTCTTTTTGTTGAACCTCAGGCATCATAAATAACGCAAATTGACCAACAAAGTCCCTAACAATATATACTCAGGAGTTACATGCATGAGACTTGCTTTGATTGCTGAGTACATTTTGAAAGATTGCACATACTAAATCTGCAACATGTCCTTGAGAATTAAAATGAGTAAAACTATGCCCTGATTGCTTAAGCAGCATCAAAGCACAGTTGAGTTCTCCAAAGATCAATGCAAGAATGGAATTATGTAACAGTGTTATTTTAACTATCCCAGAGTCTGGGATCAGAAAACATCCCTCAAAATACAGTAATTGTCTATACAAAAAGCCTCTGTTTAAGTAGGTATATATCAAAATTGATTCATGATCAATTTAACAGGGAGACTAACCAATCACATTGTTTCCTTTTAAAAAAATAATGGTTCTGTTAGTAGAATGACTTCTTAAAAAAGCTGTAATGAATATGCTTATACCAGAACAATAAAGACTTGTTGGATATTACTTTTATGCAGTGTTATTTTTCTTAGCACTTCCTTTATTTTATCAGCATGTCTTAACCAGTCCAAACTGTCTGAAATAAAAAATAAATTTTGAAAACCATGCGACAATGACAGATATCAGTAAAAGAAAGAAATGTGTAAATAATAGGTTTTAATATAACACCCGACACTCAAAATTTTAGAGAACAGTCCAAAGGCTATAAAGAAATTCAAGCATAAAGAAATTAACTTTTAGTTGACAAGAAAGCATTCAGTTCTAAATCATTTCATAGTCCAAATTATTTCATAGTCTAAATGTAAAATACAATTCTTTAGTTTTCCATTATCAGAAAGAGATATCACCTAACAACACTGTGGAAAAAAAGTCACAATGTTTTTAAAACTGTCTGTGTCATGGTGAATTTTTATTTTCATCCTGCCTTTTAAACCTTCCCTATAGAAACCTTTCCTGCAGTGTCAGTTTTTACTGTTGTGGTGCCAGTTTTTTCTGCCTTTTCATTACCGCACTTAATAAAGATTACGTCCACCTCTAAGAGGCAGATTATGGGTAGTCATAGCAAGTTAGCAGGCATAAGAAATTAAGAGAAAGCTTCATTACAATTTGACTTGCTGTGGACTGATCTTTCTCAAGTGGGTTGTTGCTTCTGATTTTGTTTTGAGTTTTTTGGTTTTGGGTTTTTTTCTGATAATAGAAAGAAAATAATATGTACTTTTAAAATAGACAGGAATAACTTGAGCAGGTTTGACACTGACAAGATTGAAACCGCAAGAAATTAATTCTCAGGTGGAAAATTGCTCTTTCTTAGATAAACAGAAATTTTCAAAGCTACTGTCCAAAATCTCTTGGCTTTTTCCTAAAATTCTTTGCATAGTATGTAACTGAGTTAACATTAGGACTGCTTCCTTGTATACTATAGGTTTGGTTCCAGAATCGAAGAGCAAAATGGAGGAAAAGAGAACGCTATGGTCAGATCCAGCAAGCTAAGAGTCATTTTGCTGCCACATATGATATATCTGTTCTTCCAAGGACTGACAGCTACCCTCAGGTATGGCAAATACCAAGTAGTACTTTGGTTCTACATTTGGCAACTGTCTTAATAACTCTGGTCTTGTATGCTTTGCTAAGATGAGGCATAAACTATGCGATCTCTAGACAACTTCTTTCTGATACAGCAAACATGCACCATTTCTTTATGGACCTTGACAGACCATTAAATAGAACAAGTCTTCTACTAGCATGAAAGCATATTATAGCCATGTACAATCAGAATTGAATATATATGGCTGGGAGAGGGAGGCAGAGAGACAAGACTGCTCTTTCAGACAGATGTAGTTTGTTTAATTTGTTTTATTCTTTTTCAGTTCCCTGTTAGCATATAGTAAGGTATACTGTGTAATAAGACTATAATCTTCTGTGTCTGGTCTCCAGTCCTATGGTTTACTGCCTTGCCTCGCTCTCTGCTATTGTTTTTCTGCTTGCTTGTTTTAGCACATTGAATACTTTTATTCTGAAGCCATTGTTTTTCATGTAAAAGCTTCCCACTGCTTTTACCACATAATTAATAAAAAAAAAAAGCACCATACAAAGCAAAATATCTTCCATGGGTCCCTTCCACTGCTGATTTTTTGTTGCTCTTCTACTTCATTAAGTAGTAGAATCTTTGCCAGCCTTAGGAATATGCTTATATTCTATGAGGATTTGCTTTGGTCATGCTCTGCATTCCCCCAGGCTGGGGGAAGAGTGGCTGGAAAGTGGCCCAGTGGAAAAGGACATGGGGGTGCCGGTTGACAGCCACCTGAACATGAGCCAGCAGTGTGCCCAGGTGGCCAAGGCGGCCAATAGCATATTGACTTGTATCAAAAATAGTGTAGCCACCAGGACTAGGGAAGTGATTGCCCCCTCTACTCAGCGCTGGTGAGGTCACACCTTGAGTGCTGTGCCAACTTCTGGGCCTCACACTACAAGAAAGACATTGAGGTGCTGGATCTTGCCCAGAGAAGAGCAACAGAGTTGGTGAAGGGTCTGGAGGGTGTCATATGAGGAGTAGCTGAGTGAGCTGGGGTTTTTTGGTCCAGAGAAAAGGAGGCTCAGGGGTGACCTTATCACTCTCTACAAGTATATGGAAGGAGGCTGTAGCCAGGTGGGGGTTGGCCTCTTCCTCCAGGCAAGAAGTGACAGAAGAAGGGGACATAGCCTCTAGCTGTGCCAGGGGAGGTTCAGGTTGGACATCAGGAAGAATTTTTTCCCTGAAAGGGTGCTTAAGCGTTAGAGTGGTGGAGTCACCATCCCTGGAAATGTTCAAGAAACGACTGGATGTGGCACTTAATGCTATGGTTTAGTTGGTATGGTGGTGTTTGGTCAAATGTTGAACCTGGTGATCTTGGAGGTCTTTTCCAACCTTAATGATTCTATGATTCTATGAATGTAATTAGCTTTGAACCAGAGGTTTTTGGCCCATGTGTCATCTACCCATCTTAATGTGCTTTACCTCTGAAGAGGATGCACATTACTAAGTTTGGTGCCTGGGCCAGAGTTGCTTTGTGCTCCATCAGCTCAGAACACGGACGTAACCAGTTCAACCTGTTTTTATTTTATAGTGTAATAGTGCATTAACCCAAATTACATCAGCAACCACTGCACTACACATTCTGTGTTTACTTAGGTGGACACAATACTTATTTGAGACTTACCTAGGTAAAGGTGTGCAAAAAGATCTTAGGTACGCCTAGGTAGATTTACAAAGAGACAGATGCACGGTCACTCACAGATCTCACTCAAGGTGTTTAGCTGTCTTTTGAAGACAGCTTTCTGATTTATCTGTAACATCACAACAAATCATACAAGGAATCATGCATAAGCTTTGGGATTTCTAGACTAAATTTTGTGTCTGCAAGCTCTTCTTGTAATTTTAGTAGGATGTCATCTACAAATTTTCCCAGTTGACAGAAGTTTCATTAGCAAAAGATAATGGAATAGTGCATGTCATTGGTAAAAACTTAAAATTATTGTTTTAAAAGTAATGTTTTTCAAAAATCCCAAAAATTATTTGATAATATGTGTGTAAGCCATAAAATTCTAAAACCAATAAAATATCTATTCTGTACTTTCAGATTGTTAAAAAGATAAGTGAGTTCACTGCATTTCTATTTAGAGTTTTGTTAAAAAAATATCTCCTAGACTGATGACATACCAGAGTTTCAGCCTGGAAAGCTTTCTATTATTAATTTATAAATTCTTAAAAATAGGAATTGAAATGCAAATGTTGGTCCCATAATCTTAAATCAAGCATCTCTAAAATGTATACACATATAAAATGTATACTCATTCATAAACACAAATATGTTGTGCTCACCTATAAACACAGACTAACACACTGCAGGTAAACAGAGGCACAAACATGTACCTGAGTCTAGTCACCTGCTTAAGAAATTTGTATTGTACTGTAGTGTGCTTCAAGGAGCTAAATGAAGGTCTGAGTCCTCTTTACATTGGCTATTTCAGCTGAGTGCTTGCATGTATAGTTTGGCTACATGATAAAAACATAGTACCTTACTCTTCAGCGAAGAAGGTGGATGCTTTGCTGTATACTGGAATATGAATAAGTATCCAGGTAATTATCACAGAATTTTTATTCAATAAAAATTCATGTTCTTGCTAACCTGGTGGTAATTCTTTATAGTTGTCACATTCTTAAATCCTCATCTTCAGAAAAACTGCGTCTCTGTAATATACATGTTATTTCCAGTGAGAATGCTTGAGAAAATAAAAATCTGTTTTAAAAACACAATGACCACTAGCAGCACTAAATTCAAATGTTTTGAACTAGATGTCCATTTTTGAATGACTTACTTATGGAAAATAAATATACAGTACATGACTTGCTATAAATTCATTCATCTGTCCCACAGTTCAGGCAGAAAGAGGTATTTAAAATTATCTGCATGTTTGATTTTAGTGTCATAGATTGATTTCCCAGACAATTCCATTATTTCATTGTAGTTAATGCAAGAAAAAAAATCAAATATCTTTTTTTTATCTTTTTTTTTTTCTTTACTGTTATTCCCCCCACCAGCCGTGTACAAGCACTCCTATTGCAACAATGAAATAAACAAATATCAGACAAGCTTTACCATACTTTTGAATAAATAGTTTTAATTTGGGACTGTGGAACACAGATCACTAGATCTTATTTATGAAACCTTTATTAAAACAGGGAAAAACAGATTCCCTGTGGCTGGAAAAAAGTATAGGATGAATATTGAAAAAGGACGAAACCATGATGAGATGTTTACAGCTGTGTGGCAGAAGGAATGGGAACAAATGTGAATTTCTGGTGTGCATTATAAAGATTTGCAGCCTGAAGATTTTCTTCTCTGAATCGCACTGTGGATATGTTGACAAAACACATCCCGCTTGCATTCCAGCAGAAGCATCAGTCTCTTGCAGTCAACAGAGGGTGTCATGGAGACTTCTGCTTAGTCTTTTCACCAATTATCTTCATCAAATACAAATTAAGAACATGATGCTGCTATGCATTGTGTGACTATATAAGCCTGAAAAGTTTGTCCTGTGGGAAAATGATTCTTTCAACTTATTTCAGATAGAAGTTTGGCTCTGAAACAGAGGAAGGTTGAAGTTGGAAGGGACGTCTGGAGGTGGTTTGGTCCAACACCTGTTTCTATAATCCAGTCTAATTTTGCTATTAAATTGCACATCTTTATCTTCAAAATAATAATAATTTGGGTTTTTTTTTTTTTGGAGATCATATTTGTTTGCATTGCTCTTTCAGTCTAACCTTCATTATTTTTACAGTATATTGACTTTAGTTGTTGCTTATTGTGTAAAATATTTGTTCATCTCTCTGCCAAGAATTTCAATATCTCCTGAACTGCTCAAATTCTGCATGCATACATCTTCCATTAATTATAATGGATTACAAAGAAGGGCAGTTAGTACAATATTGTAGCACAATCATCTGTTATTCACATGTTTTTTTCAAGGCTTTAATAACATTATGCTGAAAACCAGATTTTTCTAGGAAAATGTTACACACAGTGCTTTTCATTCATTTTAGTAAAAGGTTTCAGTTTCACTAGTTTCAATACTTGAACTTCAAGCTTCTCTTGCAGATGCAGCACACTGTGGTCTGTCATCTTAAGTGCACTCAGAAAATAATTTACTGATTAAAACAAATATCCCAGACAGTCTGAGCCTTATTAATTAGTAATATTCTACTCATAGTATGAAAGTTAAGAGGGAGCATCTTACCATCAGTGGAGAATGAAGGTTCACTTTATGGGGAAGTGAAATCTTACTTCAACTCACCTCAGTAAATGTTTGTAAACAAGCAATACTTAATTCAGTCACCTAAATACAGTGTCTAGTGTTATTAAAGATGTCTCAGGATATACAAAACATTGTTAGAGTGCTGATGAGCAGGATTTGCAAGAAGGATGCACAGTAGGCAGCTGTGGTCAGATAAATATTAGACATTTGTATTTAGGAAACTTAACAGAAGGGACTTTTAGGCTAGAGATTTTTTTTTTTTATAGTTGGCAAAAATCTGAACAATTTTTTTTTTCTTTCTAAAGTATAAGGTATAAAATAGACAAGATGATCTTTAAAAATGTATTTTTAGTTCTGATGTCTTGTTCAGCTGCAGTCATCTGTAGTTATATGGATCTATATATGATGTATTGGGAGAGGAACAATAAAAAGCTTCTTTAGCCTTATAATTCTCTTACCTTATTGGTCTTTATTTCACTGCTTTTGCCATCCTGTTAGTGGGAAGGCTACTGTTACAAAGGGTACTTGATCTCCTCAGATTTGATGCTTAAGCATGAGAAGTAGCAAGGCACCAAAAAAGCTGAGACAAAATTTCATTTTACCCCCTCCTTACTCACACTGAAGAGTGAAATTTGATCAAAAGCCTACACTATTATAAGACAGATTTCCAATTTTCCCCGTATAAGTTAAATTTATAAAGATGTTATCTTTATAATTAAGTGCACCAGTATGTAAATAAACATTAAATTGTATAACTGA